AAAGGTAGTTTTGTGCAACGGGCGTAACTTTTTGATAAGGTTACCTTAAGATTAACCTTAGTAAAGGTTGTTTTGTACAACGGCACCCTGGTACGTACTTGAGTTGCAGTTGTGTTCTTCACTAGATCTGTATAATGCCAGGTTACCTATCAGCATCTAAAACAATGCAAACGTTAAAAAAAATAGGTTTATTAAAATATGTCTGCCAAGTTCAACCAAAATATCCATATTTTATCAAACAGTAAAACAATGTTTGGTTTATGCTTACTTATGTAAAGTTCTCAGTTCTCTCTCTCAGTACCACGACGCTTTCATATCGCCTCTATTGTTATTGATTTTCAGTAGTAAAACAAATACTAGTATACGTCTCACTATTTCAGGCTCATTCGTCTGTATGATAACGGCATCCTGGAAGCCTGGGAAAGAAAATGGTCCAGCACCAAAACGGAGGGATATGGCCATTCAATGACGAAGTTTCAAATGACCCACTTGCAGAGTGCCTGGACAATGTGTGTATCGGGAATTACAGTAGCCATCATTGTATTGGGAATTGAACATTTCCTAAACTATCGTATAAACAAAGATTGATTAACTATTCTATGAAAACGGTCACATTACTGTAACGATTAGTTACAGTTACAATTGATGTCATCATTGTTGCATCGGTAAATCCAGTTACAACATAGTACTCAAAAGAAGAAAAAAGAACACCCGATTCTATCATATTACTACAGTTAATGTGTCAAGTCATGTCATGCCATGCCATCATATACATCACTGTTCTCTGGTGTAGGAACTCAGTAATACTGACATGGCAGGTTAAGAATAATAATATGAAAGAATTGGGTGTTCTTTAACTTCTTTTAAGTAGTACATAGTACAAATAATTGAGTATATCGTGAACTATATAGAACTACCATACCAGACTGTCTGGTTTGAATAAAGATGTATACTACAGATTAATTTGTGACATTTGAAATAAAATGTGATGGCATCAAAGCATTCAGAAAATACATTTAATGACAAGAAACTATGAACATCAGAAGTTTGTTTGTTGTTTTACGTTTGTTAAGAAAGAGTTTTGATGCATGTTTTCATGACTTCCTAAAATTGTTTATTCGCTCATTCGATTGTAAACATACGATAAAGAATGTCAGTAGTATTTTTCTCTCTCACACCTTTCAGGGCTTCAGTATATTTTTCATAAAGGTTAATGGTAGACGGATCAGTGAACAAAAAGAATCCCTATTTTGACTTGTATCAAGCTCCAACTGTGAATGATTTAATGATGCAAGAGTAATGTACACAAAGTAGAAATCGTGGAATCGACTCTGCCTTAATCAGATATTCCTTATGAATGTGGAGAGAGTTTTATGTGCCAAGTTTGCATGTTTTAGTGACTTTGACATGATATTTGGAGATGATTACATTTTACAAATGCACTATCCAGAACAGTGTATGTATGTTTTGTTGCTTAACGCCGTGCTCAGCAATACTCAAGTTTCAAGGCGGCACTGTGCCCAAACGCGAGTTTATATCATGAATATTGATCCACGCAATGTGGACATGATGACATGCATCAACAAAGTCGCCGATCCTCTTACGACAAGCGGGGCGGTCGGGTAGTTTAGTGGTAAAAGCGTTCGCTCGTCACGCCGAGGACCCGGGTTCGATTCCCGACATTGGTACAATGTGTGAAGCCCATTTCTGGTGTCTCCCGCCGTGATATTGCTGGAATATTGCGAAAAGCGGCGTAAACCCATACTCACTCACTCACTCACTCACTTACGACAAGCATATATTCCGTCAGATTTTATAAGACAAATAACCCAAAGAAAACCAACAAGTTTTCGAAGATAGAACCGATAGAGACGGACAGATTCTGTATTATAGTCTCACCCCGATGTACACCAATATTGCATAAAATCATACCTTTGGATTAAAATACATGGGCCATTCATGGAATTATGAGTGACTGTAGAACAACGTATTATACAACCTATATAAAAATACAGTAAAATACAGTTGTAACGAACTCCAAGACACCACTAATTTTAGGTCGTAATAACCGTAGTTCGTTATAAGCATAACAAATGGCCGGGAAAATAAGTTATATTTATATCGTTATATTGGTCATTTTTTTCTAGGCGTGTTCGTTATAACGTAGTTTACTGTACTGTTATAACATCACTGATAAAATATGTTTCTCCGTCACTTTATTTGTAAATTTTAATCTCAGAATCCAAAATATTTTAGGTCATTTGCCACTGGTGCTGTCAGAACAACAATGATTAACTGTCAGTTAAAGACTGCCTTGCAACTGTAATTTTTTCACTTTCTTCGCTTTTACAAATTGATTTGAAAAGTCTCTCAGATATACATGTTTATCTTCTTTATGTACCGGCAACACTGTCGATATATATGCCCGGAAGTGTCATTGTTATGGTTGGTGCAACGAATTTATCATGGTTTATTGTTATACCTAAATCTTCAATAAGGCGGCGCAAGCATTCCAATACTTCTTCATAGTGGTCTTTATTCCCGGTAATAATAGCAAAGTCATCCAGATAAACAATAGTCATATCGTATCTCATTATAGGGGTAATACTAGCCGCTATAGGTTGGAAGATCTCGGGCTACGAGCAGAGCCGAACGGAAGATTAGTGCCAAACATATAACTCACGTGATTATCTACAGATCTCTCAGAATTGCCACTGAAGACCTAGCACAGGATACCAATCAGGATGGACGGGTTCGCTTCCTTACGCATTCTTTAAATCCAGTTTCGCAATATACCCCCTGGTGGTAGCATGGCTGGATACCGAGTTATTTGTCTGAGGCACATTTTTAAAATATCTGCCAAATGAACGTTGAAGGAAAATTGCGATAAATATCGATATTGAAACTGTATGCGTTTCGGTGTTGTCACAAATCATGAGAAATGATTAAATCGTTCTCCATCAAAAAAGGAAGTTGTAGCGAAATGGATGACCTTATCTTATGTCTTAATTAGGCCTTAGCTTCCCACATTCACCTGATTGTGTAAATTTAATCTGATTAATGTGGCACCATTATACATTTTATAGTTAGCCATATCATCAAATGTAATGAATTACCGCAAAATTACACCCTTTTCTTTGACGGCATGGCTTGATTTGTCTTTGGTGACCTTGAACAAAGACGACAGTGATATATTGATAAACACGTGTCTTGCCTAGTTCACTTGACCCGTGAAGATTCCGGGGTAGAAAAGGTCAACCCATGCTTACCGTAAAAGGTGGCCCTGCCTTTCGTAAAAGGCGACTAACGGGATCGGGTGGTCAGGCTCGCTGACTTGGTTGATGCATGTCATCGATCCCAATTGCGTGGATCGATGCTCATGATATTAATCACTGGATTGTCTGGTCCAGACTCGATTATTTACAGACCGCCGTCATATAGCTGGAATATTGCTGAGTGCGGCGTTAAACAACAAAGCAAGCAACCAACCAAATTTTCTTTCATAGTAATTTGTTTTTATCATGTAAATATGTAGATAGTTTGACGGTTTTTCTTAATTGGACAAGAAGCGAACCTGTCAGGCATCAAGGTTACACAAAAACAAATACTCAGAAGATTATTTAATACAGGTAATATTGGATTCGTATACGAAACGAGAGGAGCAATTAGTAAATGGTTTGTGACTAACGCACAACTGGGGAATCGTTGGACATCAATATTCTGTCAATCAACCGACAAATCACAATTCCATTTCATTGATATCTTCTGATTCTATGTTTGAGATAATCGTATTATGTACTATTCTGAACCCCCGTGAACATCCGGGTTAGAAGGTCTTCAGCCACCCATGCTTGTAGTAAGAGACGACAAACAAGACCAGGTGGTCAGGCTCTGCGACTTGGTTGATACATGTCATTGTATCTCGATCACTGAATTTTTTGGTCCAGACTTGAGTGTTTATATCTCGCCGTCATATCGTTGTAATGTTGCTGAGTGCGGGATTAAACAACACACTAGACAAACACTACTGAGGACAGTGCATTCAAGAAATTTCTCTCCCTGTCGTTCCTTGGCGTACGCAATTTCATGAACGGTTTTCCGTTCAACATGAAACCTACATATTGTGTCAACTAATGTACTGTAAAACAATATTGCTCAACATTTTCATTTTTTTAGAATCACAGCACATAAGGATTCTTTTAAAATGTTCCCAAATGAAAGTCATATTTCCAAAATGAGGCGTTCGCACTTTCCCTTGTATTTACCTAAAATAATATTTGATATTTTGATATTTGGTCATATATAATTTTAATACGTGGCCACATTTACACTGACTTGAAACTATCTCTGATCGCTAACTCTATAGTTTCTGTCCAATATTGTAGATTTCAGTTCCTATATCATTATTTGGACTCACGTGAATTTCTGACATAACGAAATGTTCAATCGATTTATGCAGTTTACATAAATTACTCCTGTACTCTTGCATCATTAAGTCATTAACCGTTGGAACATATTATTGAAACCTCAACGCCAGGAAATAACCAGTCTCGTGTATCCGTCGAAACTGATTCCCTTGGGCGTCAGAGCAGTGAAAATGTATATTAATGGATCACTGAAAATCAGTGATGACACCAGGCGAATAGGGTAAGCATGTCTTCCTGTTCCGGAAGCACCTTCCAATGAGTTGATTGTACGATCCGACAATATCCTGAACATGTGTTAATGAATCACTATCCAATAGTGGTAATACCAAGTGTTCGCTAAAGTGTAAGTGTATCCTGCCGTACTGTTGCATTCGTCACACACACAAATGCAAGTCAACTGTTCATCTGAAAAATATGGAATTGGATCGGACATAATCTTTGTCACTGATGCTCTACATTTGGAAATGTCCTCCACCTGTCTACCATCAACCTGTATGAACATTTTACTGAGGCTTTAAATGGTATGAGAACATTTTATTCATATTCAGATACATGACTTTGGTACACTGAAACTATACAGAGGGCAACGGGATTTTGCTGTGGAAACATGTATGGTGGTTAGGGTTAAACCATTAACAACTGACACTGTTTACGGTGTGGTTGTACTCTTCACTATCTGTGATGCAGTGGAATGAGCGAATAATCAGTTTCAGCACTCCCATGTCAATAAAAGCAACACAACTATTTACAACACAAGTCATGTCTAATGTCAAATTGACCTAGTTTAACATAAATAAGGCGCGGCTATCGCGAGAGCATGAGACAATTCGACAAAGGAAGTGGAATCTTTCAATTTAAATCTGATATTTTGGCTGATATACAATCAAAAGAAGTCAAAGAACACCCGGTTGTTTTTTATTGCTATGGTTGACGGATAACATGTAATAATATAAAAGAATCTGGTGTTCTTTTTGTTTCTTTTTGTAATGGTAATATTTACACTGTATTTACCGAAGCAATGAAGGGGCCATCAATTATATATGTAAACTCACGGTAACTTACTAAGCTGTGCCCATTTTCATAGAATAACCAATCAATCTTTGTTTATTCGGTAGTTTAGGAAACGTTCAATTCCTAATATAGTAAAGGCTACTATAACGCCTGATACACACAATGCCCAGGCACTCCGCAAATTACTCATGTCAACCTTCGTCATTGCAGGTACATGTTCCTCCCGTTTTGTGCCGGACCATTTTCTTGCCCAGGCTTCCAGCATGCCGTTATCATACAGACGAATGAGTCTGGAACAGTAAGGTGTAGTAATTGTAGTACAACTGCTTAAGGGGTATAAGACTAAATATTGGCATGCACATGAAATTGCTTGTAGCGGATTAACGCACAGTGTGCACACCAGTTTTTACGTTCATATGTCCATAAACGTAATAAACTATTGAAGTAAAATATTCTTTCAATATTTACGCACCCCCCCCCCCCCCCCCCCCCCTTTTTTATTTCTGTATAAATTACCACCAAAGACTATAAATAGATCTTAGTTGTGCAACCCCCCTTTTCAAAAAAGCTGGATACGATGGCATGCATCAACAAAGTCGCCTCTTATGACAAGCATAGTCGCATCTTATGGCAAGCATATGTTCACATTAATACATATTGTACAAATTGAAACAAACTAGACCAACGCATATATCACTGGAAAAGATAAATGCATTGGTGTCATTTAAATATGAAACATGTACGTGTTTAGTACTTACTTGTCTGAAAATAACTCCACAAGAGGTGAGTTGACGGGAAATGGCAGACTTAGATAGTTCGGACCAGTGCTGCATTTCATCCTTCGGAGGTTTTGAACTGTCTTTTCTATACCATCAGTTATGGCTGAACCGGTTATGTATGCGTTGTAGCTAGACTGCAGGAGCATCTTAATGTGAAGATCCTCTTCCAGAGAGTTTTGGATATTTGTAGCTCGGGTATCCAACACTTTTGACCAGATTTTCTTGCTTACACTATTATTAGAATACTGAAAAACGTTCAGAAAACACAATTTACTGGGAATTAGCTGACAGAAGTAAACTGAACCAAATTAAATACTTCACAATCCTAGAATTTTAACATTTTGAACAGCTATCATTGTGGGCCCTTATTTTGTTTTTAAACAGTAATGGCCACGTATTTTCTTCAGACAACACCCGTTTTTGTGCAGGTGAATCGATCAAAATCATGTGCACAGCACTGTAGTGGCAAAAGTGGTTTTCACTTGCAACTGGTCACGTGTTTTCAGCCATACGTGTTAGCAGTCATTAACAAAAACAGAAAAACACAAGAAAACAAAAGTCTTTACGTCCATTTGTTATGCCACGCCTTTCAAATTAAATGTGCAACGTAAACATGCCATCAGCATGTTGCAGACGGGAACGTCCGTAGCTGAAGTCGCAAGGACGATGGGTTGTAGTCGACGGACTGTTTATGATTTACAGGCGCGTCTACAGCAAACAGGTACCACCGCTGATCGCCCTCGGCCAGGTCGACCACGTGTGACGTCACATGCAGAGGGTCGTCAGATTGTCTTACGTCACCTCCGTAACGGATATTTGGCGGCTACATCAACCAGAAATGAACTGTTTAGGGGTAGACTTAGAGCGTTAAAGGTCAACGTCAATTGTGGGCACAGCGACACTTATGATTGACTCAGAGGAATTAGAATCAAGTCGTCTTCAGTGATGAATTCCGATTTAATCTTCGATTTGCTGATGGTAGGGCGAGGGTGTGGAGGCGCCGTCATGAACGTTTCGCCCAGTGTTGTGTACAGGAAGATGACAGATTTCGAGGCGGAAGTGTCATGGTGTGGGGTGCTTTCTGTTGCACCGCAAGTTCCAGGCTTCTTGTCATCCGTGGCAACCTCAACGCTGCTGCTTACCGCGACCAGGTACTGGGACCAGAACTTCAGTATGATCTTCCAACACGACAATGCCAGACCCCACACAGCAATTTTGACAAGGAATTTCCTTCAGAATGCGGGAGTCAACGTCATGGACTGGCCGTCAAGGTGTCCCGACCTCAATCCCATCGAACATGTCTGGAATCCTTTGGCAGAAGTCTGCGCACTCTCCAGAACCAACCACAGAATTTGCAAGATCTTGGCACCATTTTGCAGCAGCAATGGCGTCGTCTTCCCAAACATGTGTTCACAAGCATCACAAGGTCTATGCAGTGTGGCAGTTGTCAACGCACAAGGTGGCCATACACGCTACTGAACTTGTGTGCCATCAGATTCACGTGCTTTGGACTTATGATTTAAACTGTTGATGTTATTACCGAATACCGTAGGTGCTTGGAACAAATTATGGTTACCGCCGTTAATTAAAATCCATATTTGGACATTAATGATTAAAAAATACTTTCTCTGATTCATTTGTCCGTTCTATATCATGTATGGGAATACTTTTTAAAATGTGAAGTTTTTAATTTGACTCGTATATATTTGGAATATGAGGCATAATTCTGACATCAAATGTAATTTACAAGTAGTAACTATTTGGATGGTTAATCACCTTGAGCAGACAAAAGTTACCATCCATCACCTTCTGCTATATGTGCCTTTCTCTACAATGCGACAAGAGGGACCTGGAGAAAGCATAAAGATAAACACAATTACGCAAAGCAAGTGTGCTTCTCACCTTGTAGGTATCTTCAGTGGATGACCCTCTATTTATGATAATCTTGAAGTCATCATTTCTTGCAAGTTCTTCCATCGAATTGAAGGGTATTTTTTCTTTTACCACTGATATAGTTGCAACCAGATTACCCGTGTAAACTGCGACGATGATGATGCAAAACCACCACCAGCTTGTGTAGAATATGCGGCTAGATGTAGGCTGTGGGAGATGCAGCGAGCCTGTGGATGAAATGTTTCCAAATGTTAAATACACTGCTCAAAAGAGGTTAAAGAACCCCAGATTTTTCGTTTTACTATAAATGAACTATAGTCATGGACAAGAATAGAGTGTTCTTTAAAATTGTTTTAGTTGTATATTGTTCCGTGTTTTGAGAATATCAGCCGATGTAGGCAAAATTTCTACGCCACACAGACTCACTGATGCAGTGGAGAAGTAAATGTACTGTTTTAGAAAAATTTCCATAATCATATATCTCTGCCTAATAGTTATGATACCAGGTGTTCGCGAGACGTTGAGCATATCCAGCCCCACCTATTGCTTTCGTCACAAACACATACAAAGGCAAGTCAACTGTTCATATTAAAAAACGGTACATACGGTACAAGCTAAAATACGGATTCCATCGCACATCATTTTTTAGTGATGTGTCACATTTGAAAATGTCTTCAACCTGTCTTCCATTGACATTCATTATCAAACCTGTAAGCGTATTCTTCCCTATCAGTGGCACCCATCCTAAGTAATTATTACTGAGATGATTACTCTGTAGCTTGGTTAGAAGGAATTGGGTTACATGATTACACTGATGACCTGTCTTTCCCTTCCTGTGGGATGACTAAAGGAGCGTAAAGCAGCAAACATAAGACCACCCGGTCTCGAACAGTGATATGTAATCTTAAGATTTTTTTTAACATGTGTTTTTTACAGAAGTTTTGAGTGATACGATGGTGCGAGAGAACCAATATCCTATATCGTGTTGGCTTAAACCTTACATTGTTCTACTGTTTGATAACTATTAGGTATTGTGGTTGAACTTTGCAGAAAACATTAATCAAACTGACTTTCTAATTTGAAAAAAAAAATTCATCTTGCAAAAGCATTATAGACATTCATCAGTATGGGGTATATATTTTGCATTTGAATATTTAATTATCAAGATCGCAGAATCAGTAAAAGGGTTCTGTTATTCATCAACATGCTCGTTTGACAACCTTTCCTCATGTGTGTTTAATTTGTTTTGATAAGTGTCATCCTATTAAGTAAATAATATTCTTCAAGATGATTGGGGCATATATGGCATCAAAATGAGGTTTACACTTTGGAAAACATCATTCCATTTGTGGTTTCACATAATTACCATAACATGTTGCATGGTGTCCTCTAATCATATTTACATTTGCAAATTTAAACGGATAAAACTGAAAATCATTCCGTGATCAATATTTAGGAATCATGTTTGAAGAAAAATGTTCCCCTATCTGTAATATTCAGTTTACAAATGGAGTTAATAAGACTCGCTGCATCCGTTGAATGCATAGGCTCCTGTGTGTGGCCAAATCTGACCTCAATCCTGTATGTTTGGGGCTATATCACTGGAATTAAACTTATGTGGGGCTTTGTCACAGGGCTTATAGCCTGTAGCTTTTTTCATTTTGCAAATTGTAGCGATAATCAAATATAGAGAATTTGAAATAAATAAAACAACAAAATAATCTGCTTGAGGTTTTAACCTTATTCTCAATAAGAATATCATGATTTTACTTATTGACCCAACATCGTATTGTGGTATTTAGAATATCTTCTTAATCGATATTTGTGGACCACGTTCCAAGCTCCTCAAGAAGTATTTACTAAATCATTATTTCCGTGCGTTAGACCAACGATAAAATGGACTCATTGGCTCAACACTGACACAAAATGTTGTCCCAAATTGTAAATGATAGTCGGGTACCTTGACGTAGCGGCACAAGAACCGCTGTCATGACACTGACTGAAGTTGATGGTGGACGTGCAGGAATCTCCCCGGCCTTGATATGCTCTCCAACACTGTATCGTTCCAGCAATGTATAAAGTCCTATGCACCATGCCGTCGTCAACAGTCCGTATACATACACTTCCCATTTAAAAATAGACACCAACAACATCCAATGGTTATCATTATTTGACAGTTTTTTATGGACTACCTCACATTCGGATTGGTACATGATATGAGAAAATGCAAAGGACTTGGTTCTTTTCAGGCTGATTGCATAAGGTATGCCCGAAAGATCGACATCCTGAAAAAAACCAGACAAGATGGAAATAGTTAGTTGGTTGGTTGGTTTGTTGTTTAACGCCGCACTCAGCAATATTCCAGGTATATGACGACGGTCTGTAAATAATCGAGTCTGGACCAGACAATCCAATGATTGACATCATGAGCATCGATCTGAGCAATTAGGATCGATGACATGTATCAACCAAGTCAGCGAGTCTGACCACCCGATCCCGTTAGTCGCCTTTTACGACAAGCATAGTCACCTTTTACGGCAAGTATGGGTTGCTGAAGACCAATTCTACCCCGGAATCTTCACGGGTCAGAGATGGAAATGGCTTAATGTATAATTTCCAATAGATCTACGTTTGCAAATAGTTCAAATCAATATATTCTCTCCTTACATTTCGTGCCACCATGCCAAGAAGACCGCTCCATGTTTCGGACAATTCACCCCAGGACCTGTCAGGCGGTTCGATCAGTTCATATCTGAAGTGAAAAGGAAACATCATAATGAATATGAGTTGTCATTACAGTTGAAGGGGACGGGCTTTTATATTGATATCATTATATGTAGTACTCGTTTCCTGTCATTACCACATTTTATTAGCGTAGTAAAGCAGTAGTATAACATGGTCATGGTAAAAACATTGGACGGACCTTTCAATAACACATTTCATTAGCCTGGTAAAGGAATTGCTGTTATGTTTGTATGGGGTAAATTGACTATGACAGTATAATACTGATAAAAATATTGGAGATGGATGTATTATAAAACGTACGTAAAATTGAGATATTCGGCAAAGCTGTCGAAAAAATCCTTGCAGATATGAGTGTACACAATGGAGCCATTTGTTGAAGAAGCTGATTTCTTGCAAAATGGATCCCACTGCAAGAGAGAATAATTGTCTTCTACTATCAATTCGGTATATTTATGTTAATGCCAAATGCATGAGGGGTGTTATTTATGGCTACAATGAACGTTTCCTTTTCCTTGAAGAGATGTTTTTCATGTGAATCAGTTTTACTGAAACCTAAACCCTTAATTTGAAATGTAAAATATAAAAATTTAGTTAATCAGTTATTTATGCTATTTAGACTGAATTGGTTGCCTCAGAAGGATGGCTTGAAGTCCTTTCTGGAATGATATCACCCCATCTTGCTGACAAATATAGCTTTGTCTCTTTATAGCTTTAATATAGCTGTGTCTCTATTATCTGACATAAACTACATATCTGCTTGTGGTTGTAGTTATTTACGGTCGGGTAGACTAGTGGTTGAAGCGTTCGCTCGTCATGCCGAAGACCCGGGTTCGATTCCCGACATGGGTACAATATGTGAAGCCCATTTCTGGTTTCCCCCAACCGTGATATTGCTGGAATATTGCTAAAAGCGGCGTAAAACCATACTCACTCACTCACTATTTACCTCCAAGACGCCAATTTTTAGTTTTCTTCCGTTCAACATGTATGCTGTATTGGGGAAGAGGGGAGCAATGGAGGCGGGGTATATGTTACTTGTTAAGTCACCGATTTGTGACCATTTCCGGCTGTTCGGCTTCCACAACAGAGTGCTGATTTTCACATTTGACCGACCAGAAATATTATTTTCCTACAAACAAATGTAACAAACCCCTTTAGGGAATAAGCTTATTTCCAATATCAATGAAATATATTGTTTGATTGGCATTACTTAAAAGTTGACGGATGACAAAGTAGACCCAATTTATGGATAACAACTTTTTTAATACTGTAAAAAGCGACGTTTCGGTACAGATGGTCATAAACTTGTCAAGCAAGACTGAATGAGGGACATTGTACAGAAGATATATAGTAGGTGGAGGATAAACAGTAACAACAATTGCATACATGAATGGGAAAACATGATTAAGTAATAACAACAGAAGGATAATACTGTCACAACATGATGTTAGGTTTCTTTCAGTGAAATCATGGAGATTGTTGGGGAGGATTTGGACGTTGTCCCTGTCGATGTTGTGATAAGGACAGTTGCAGTCAATTTTGTAAACTACACCTGTAGACTCTTGGGGTTTGATTGTGATCCTGCCGTTGGCTCTTAGCAAGGGCATTGGGGGAGGTGGAGCTGGTGAAGTGGATGTCAATATTGGCTTGCTTTTTGAGGAGGAGGCTGATGATGTGAGAGACGTTTCTTTGAATGGCGGGGAGGGGGCAGTGGGGGGGGGGGGGGGGGGGGTGGGGGGGGGTGGGGGGGGGGGGAATGGGGTGGTTGCGGAAGGACGCTGATTCAGGTTTAAGGGTCGCAGATCTTGGTGTGGGGTGGAGTACAGAGGAGAGGACTTTGTCGACGAGATTGGGTGGATAATTGTTGACGTGGGTGAAGACTTGGCGGAGGCGTTCGATCTCATGTTTGCTTTTTACAGTATTAAAGAAGTTGTTATCCATAAATTCTGTCAACTTTGTCAACTTTGTTTCATGTTTTCAATCATTTTGTACACGTTTAGTGTCAGTCTATGTAAAAGTGTTAAGGGTTATATATTATGGCTAATTACCTTGACTGCTATTGCTATGTTGTCCAGATCAGCATATACTTCTGTTAATAATGGCGGGTCCACATTCAGGAATAACCATTTCGAGAAATGACGCAGCAGTGTTCCTTGTCCGCATTCCTTGTCTTTTTTGGAAGACTTTGGCAGATAGAACAAATCATTAATAAACATTATGATTACGTTTGTACGTTGGGATGGAAAGCTTTACTGAGAAACGGTCAGTTGAACAATTGAATATCTGAAATACGTGTATTTTATTTGGCAAACATACCATATGTGTGATGCGTGGCAAGCAGTTGTTGATACCGTCACAGAAGACGACAAAGTTAAACAATTTGCGATAAATGTGGAGTTGGTTCTTCTGGAGAGTTTTCTCCATTAAGCCGGTCAGACTCCGCTCAAAGGCATTCAAGTGGAAGAACATTGCAGTCACGCCATGCTGTGTCGTCCATTCTTCAATAGTGTCATGTATGTCGCTTCCTGTTTAGAAATGGGAACGTAAAATCACAACAGGAATACCATTAACATGTACAATAGGTATGTTTGCTCGTTGATAATGAACACCCAAAAATATTTTCACAGACCAAAGATTCAACGATGGTTTATATGATAATATCAGTCTTGAATTTGAAGACGTCACTTACCCATAGATGAATGACCAACAAAAACCAAAGATGAACCCGGATGAAGAGACATCTTGCATAAGAGGTAATGCAGTTCATATTTTCCAAGGGTTAATCTGGAAGGAGCTGTTAATAATATTAATATTAAAACCACTATGGACATTAGTACCTTGAAAAAAGGAAATCACTATAAATGAATTATGTGTGAACTTCTTGGGGGTATTCATGTTCGAATTAGCATAACTGGAAGCACAAAATTTACGAACCAATAAATATAGACTAAAGAATCACATAAATGCATTGTGTTTTTAATGATACACACCGCAAAGTTTCTCTGTCACAAATCTGAAAGGACATAGCCTCGAGTATAACATCTACGTATCACGAACGAGTAAAGTGTACACTACATTGTCAATTAAATCAAATAAATTACTCATGAGTATCATAAATACAAATCATGGGCGGGGTGGGGGGCGGGGGGGTGGGGTGGGTGGGGGGGGGTTGTATTTAATGAAGCATGTAAAGGTAATGAATATACGGGTGCATTATGTATCTGTTCCACGAATGGGTCATTATAAGTAGACACAGTGCACAAAACTAATACAGTGTTAATTGAGTAAAAATATATAAAAAATATTATAACATAGATTTTCTACATACCTGTCAAGTTCACGAAACGACCACAGGACGGACCGACGAAAAGAACCAACTGACCAATTACATATATGTACATGCGTGCAACGTCCATGGCTCTGGATGTTTGAATACCATTCAAGAGGAATCCCGATACTACCTTTTTTGGTTTCATGTACATGTATGGCAAGGAAAATATGCAACCGTAACCTTACTCAGCAAACGGAGACAGACGTCAGCGAACATTGTACATTAGTGGCGTTCTGGCACTTGCGTTCAATACTTCATCATTCGTCATCAGAATCGTTTACAAATATTGACACAGCATAAACACGATAGGCAGAAGCATCTGTTCAATTAAACTAGTATCAAAATGACAATGACGGGGTATGTGTACTGTGTACACATATCTTAATAAAACGTACTACATGACTATTTGTGATATGCATCAAAGTGTTTAGAATCTCATGGAAAGCATTCTTTGTTTCCTCATAAGTGGGTGTGTGATCGATTTGCAGGTTTAATCGTATGTGTACATATCGCCAAAATCCACACATAATGCAGACTAATCGATTGATAACAGACGTTTTAATTTGCAGATATTCTATAAATATTTGAAATGTATTATATCGCATCGAACGACACCAGTAATGAGATTTAATATTTCATCATATGCTTGTCATAGGTGTATGTTTTATGGAGCTCTAGTCTCCCAAGGATATTTATTTTATCATTAAGGACCACCTAACGATCAAATAGATAATCCAGTTCATCTTCATACCATGAACGTTTATATTTCATTTGCATTTTCATTGCAAATTCCACATACATTCTAATACCATATTGTTAGAATGGTAGCATACAGTATGAAACCGTTCAAAGGCATGTCCTATGTTTTAGAATCAAAAGAACAACATACATGGTCTACTTTACCAGCGTTCGAAGCTTTAGCATCCTTTAAATTCGCAGGATTAAATATTTAAAAAACGAAACAAAATGTGTTTTCCTACACAAAAAAGGAACAAGCTTGCTGAATGCAGATACATTCTCTTATGTTTTCGTTTGTGAAGCTTATGTTATAAAACTTAACCTTTTGAGAGGATTATTTCGTGAAATGACTGGAAATGTAATCGTCGTGACTGGGCACTGATAAAAGATACATTTGCATGATATGAAAAGTAATATCATCTGTCAGTCAAAAATGTTAAAATTCATCTGTTTGTGGTTTGCCCTTGCATGTGTTTGTGACGGGTGCCACAGTCGGGACAGGAAGCGCTCGCCTTTTCGAGAACACCTCGTATCATTACTATTTGATAGTAATTCATGAACACAGTTGACTGTTTTCGCAGAAATTTCCCTTTTATTATGGAAATGGCTTGAGTCGCTATTATTTATATCAATGTCCAGAAACAAGAACAAACAAATGCCGTCGCAGACGAAGAACACGCTGTCACGCTATTTGATTCGTCAGGTGTGAACATCGTGTCCCTTCCAGTTCTATCCAAGAACTCTTGTCAAAAAGCATATTTGTCTTGAAATGCATTATCCTATGGCAACAAAAGCTGATGGAGAGTATTTCAAAGCTAAGGTATATATTTTGTCCTGATGCACTACATGTGTACACTGGGACCTGCATGTGTTCAAGGAAATTGGCGTCCCAGTCTTCTCAGCGTTTGGCCGTCATGTCTTGCAAGTTGCATTCCACTATTATCATTGCGTGGCCGCTGAATGTGGGAGGAAAGCCCAAAGTGATGTTGATCATAAACGTTTACATTTTTATCTATTTAAACCCGTGTGAAGCTAACATATCAACATGAGTGAGTGAGTTGAGTTTAACACCGCTTTTAACAGTATTCAAGTTATATCACGGCGTGTCAGCTTAATGTGGGAGGAAAGCCCGAAGTGATGCAGGTCTTAGACGTTTACCACTTCGTTGAAACGCACGAGCATTTGTATGGTGATGACAAACCTGGAAACATAATCGAGGCGAACTCGAATTTGAACCCACAATCATAGATATCCAAGGGACGCACCTCTACACAGCGAATTGTGGCGACTGGGCTACCCGTGCCCCAAACTGCATATGTGAACATTGGCTGAAAGTACACGAAAATCTGTTGGTCAGGCCATTTTCAATAACTTAACACTCATTGGACAATATTTTTTAATAAAAGATTTACCTGTTCGATTCAGAATGTTCACAAGTAAGGTATTGTGTGTACTAACAAACGTCGAATTTTGTGTTTCATTTAAATTGGATTTGATATATCTCAGCCCCTGTGGGATTCAATGGTTGACTCCCTATGTTTCTCGTATCAGACAACTGGAATGAGGATAGGGAGATAACAAAAAGTGTGACCTGGCCGATTGTTTGTCATTATAGCCGAACGTGGATCGTTTCTTATTCTGTGTAACACTGTCGATTGTATACTGGCAACTGTGATAAGCTGGAATGTCACAAAATAGCTGGAATGTATCAATAATGTTAGTTCATCGTGTTGAGGTTGTCATTTATGATACATAATTATTTTGCAATTTCTCTTTCCGTAAGTTTTCGGTAAATTGTACAATTGCGCGTATGCACGTTTCATCAAAAATGCATCGCGCAAACAGGAGACAAAATAAAAATATTATCCTAAAAACAAGAAACCAATTAAGATATAGTCCTAAAAAAGAACCGCAAAAAGATGTTTGAGGTGGGAAGTCCCACACCTTCACTGCAGATTAGTGTGTACAGCTTCCCCGTATATACATTGTAATACATGTACTAGGGGACTGTGGCCTTTCAGTATTGAGAATAAAAGGCGAGATCTATGCCTTCGCCACAAGTGAGTGAGTTGCCTTTTAGCTCTGCTTGAACAGTATTTAGTTATCTCACGGAGTGTCAGCTTAATGTTGGTGGAAAACCCAAAGTGATGCAGGTCTCAGACGTTTACTACTTTGGTGAAACGAACATTTATATCGTACTGACAAACCTGGAAAATTAATCGAGGTAGATTCGGATTCGAACCCACAATCATAGTTTTCTGGCGTGACCGAGGGACACAACTTTACACAACCCGTTCCCCCTATCACAACCGAACATTTGAGGAATGATAACATATTAAGTATTTCCACTCCAGTTTTCCAGTTCCTTAATTTTGTTTTTGTAGTCCACCAATAGTACTTGAAATTAACACAACATCATCTGCAATTAATAGAAGAAATAAATGAACTGTATCCGGGTGTAATTGTACACAATGTGTGCAGTTATATTCATTTTGAGTTTATTTATAAAGAAAGAAAATGAAAAGGGACTCAGTATACAACCTTGTCTTACTCCGAGCTCGATGTCTGTATCAACTGGTTTCTGACAAATCATGCTCATGCCTTACACAGGCTTTAAGAATGTCATAGATGTTACTTATCCCATTAGTATTCAAGAGAGTCCATAATTACAGAGTCAAACGCCTTTCCAAGTCTACATATAATGTATATAATTTTCCATCTTTTACATTAAGGTATACGTGTACAATACTATCATGTTATATCATATCATATATATCAAGTGAACATGTTAGCATATATATCAAGCGAACGTGTTATCAATTGTTGTGCAGCATTGCCTAAACCCTGCCTGTGATTCATTAGTTTTATTCATTGGATCACCCAAGAAGTCAAGTCTTTTGTTAATAATGGCGGTAAGGGTTTTAGTGCTGAATGTGCTTAGCAGAGTGATACAGAGTACCTCTACCGTCATTAGTATTGTTAAAATGCCCTTGTTCGTGTATTGAAACAATTATTCCATGGCTTCAATAATTTGTAGACGTTGGGTGACAGTTTATCTTAAAGTCTAAACGGATATCTATTGTTGCTGATTACCTTGACTGCTATTGCTATGTTGTCCAGATCAGCATGTTCTTCTGACAATAATGGCGGGTCCACATTCAGGAAGAACCATTTCGAGAAATGACGAAGCAGAGTTCCTTGTCCGCATTCCTTGTCTTTTTTGGAAGACTTTGGCAGATATAACAAATTAAAAATAAACATAATGATAGTGTTTGTATGTTGCGATAAAAAGACAAGCTTTCTTTAGAAACAGCCAATAGAACTCACAGGAGAAATTAGTATTTCTATCAAATGAATATCTGAAATACATGTATTATTTTTGTAAAACGTACGATATTTATGATGCTTGGGAAGCAGTTGTTGATACCGTCACAGAAGACGACAAAGTTGAACAATTTGCGATAAATGTTGATTCGATTCTTCGGGAGAGTTTTTTCAATTAAGCCGGTGAGACTCTGTTCAAAGGCATGCACATGGAAGAACATTGCAGTAACGCCATGATGTGTAGTCCATTTCTCAATATTGCCATGTATGTCTCTTCCTGTTTCGAAATGGGAACGTAAA